TATTTACCAGTCGTTATCTCTGCTCGATAGTTAAGTTATACAATTTTTTTGTCACTTTAAAAAAAAATAAATAAATAGACGTATAGCCAATAATGAATAGATAAACTAATTTAACACTTCTGATTTACAGCGCGCACCTTCATTCGACGAAAAATGCTTACAGTATACTACTATACAAAATAAATAGATTAGAGTGATTTTCAAATTTTAAGCCGTGTCAAACGCCATTTCAAGTTCTTCCGTCAACAAAATAAGCTGTCTCCAGACATGCGCCACTCCCAAAACACGACATATTTGCCGTTCGACGATCTAGCTGTCTTGCTATTCGCCGATTAACGAGTAAAACATCTACACACATGTGTTGTTTCCCCGAAAACTGTTCGTTTCGGGAATTGCAAAAATATTCGTTCACTTTGATGTGTGCAAAAATACCGGCAATGAACGGAAAACACGAGCACGAGCATTTGCTGTCATACTACTTGCGAGCGTACAGTCTGGAGCCGGCTATAGGCATGGAACTTGAATAAAACCCCCTTTTTGCAAATCATTAAACTAAATTTTAATTAATTATTTTATTATAACAAATTTATCATAAGATAAAAATATGTATTCTCGGTATATATTAATAATCTAACACATTTAATTTTAAACGTATTTCTAAACTGTTTAAGAACGATGCTGTAAATGTTTGAAAGAATAGTTGAGTGTACATTTTTGAGAACTATCCAGAGCTAAAGAAGAACTTAAGATTGGTATATAGATATAGGCATTTATAGTAAGAAAACTGTGTCCACTGGAAATTCTATAGTTATGAAGTTAGAGTGCCCACTTTGTATTCCTTATCGAGAACTAACGAAGAACTAACGATTGGTATATAGTGCGAGTCCCATGCCTCACTTTAAATTTAAGTTTCCTAAAATATATACAATATATTTCCCCTAGAATATAAGTTTCCCCTTTCTTACAATAGATATAAGCATTTTTATTCAGAAACTGTGCCCGCTGGAAATTCTATAATTGTGAAGTTAGCATACCCACTTTGTATGCCGCGTAACTTTTTATTTTTTGAGAACTAACGTAAATATTTGAGAACTATCGAGAACTAACGAAGAACTAACTATTGGTATATAGATATAAGCATTTTTATTCAGAAAACGGTGCCCGCTGGAAATTCTATAATTGTGAAGTTGGCGTACCCACTTTTTATGCCTCGTAACTTTTTTATTTCTTGAGAACTAACGTAAATATTGGAGAACTATCGAGAACTAACGAAGAACTAACGATTGGTATATAGATATAAGCATTTATAGTCAGAAAACGGTGCCCGCTGGAAATTGTGTAGTGTGATGTTAGCGTACCCACTTTGTATGTCTCGTAACTTTTTTATTTTTTGAGAACTAACGTAAATATTGGAGAACTTTCGAGAACTAACGAAGAACTAACGATTGGTATGATCAAAAGTGGATACGCTAATATGGGTACGCCAACTTCACGGACCTCAAAATGGTGGAATCCGAAACTGTTAAGGATTTATTTCTAGGTTATGGCTAGCTAGAACTGTACCGCTCTGTTTTAGAATAAGTTCATGACCAATCCTGAGGGTTTTTAATCAACATGTAAATTCAGGTCTCCGAAAATGTCTAAAATTACATCTATATCTGTGTTTTTTACTACCCTTCATTACGAACAACGTGTATCTAATTACACCAATACCTATCTTTACACAAACGTTCTCTTCCTTCACTTAAAATTGTTGGTAAAAATAATTATGAAGCTCAACGGTGAAGGTCAATAACAATATACTATGTGGAACCCTGATGACTCCGCTCAATTTTGTAAATGCCTCTGCAAACGCCACCTAGTTAATATACAGTATATAGATGTGTCATAATTAAAAGAATCCGGAACCGCAGTAAAGCAGTATATAAAATACAAGCTGAGAATCATGAAACAGTCTTGTTCCCATCCGTGGTTCAGGACTAAAAGTGAAGTTTAAATTTTGATTGTAAAATAGACACCTAAGTAATCATTATCAAGTAAATTGTTATGGAACATGCTCAGGTTCATTGTTCATAAGCGTGTGCAATATTTGATGTAAAATACTAAAATTTAAAGGCTTTACTTTCATTTTTTTTTATTTTATTGTTAAATTTAAAAGTGATTACTAGAACCAATATTTATAATTTATAATAGTATAGATTCCGTTGCACATTGCAACGTGCTTGCAATTATACAGGTCTTATAATAATAATGTTTTATTTTTTAAATCCGAATGGAATTAATAATAAATAAAAGTTTTTTCTCCCACCGGTAGCAACGGGTCAGTTCTGGTTACGATAATTATAAATCCCTGTGTTGTGAGGGAAACACCACCGAGCGGCCTTACTCGATAATGGGGGCGAAAGGTGCCGAATTACCCACCCGGCCTTGGCGCGGGGATTTCTAAAGCGTCCGTCCGCGCGAACCACCATTTTGAGGGTGTCCGCGTCAAACACGTCCGGGCTAAACACGGAGCCAACAAGATGGTGCTTCTTCTTCATGGGCCAGTTTTTTCGTTTGCAATAAGTGATCAGTCAGGCTGTAGAAGCTTGTTTATATTCACTGTGACACTACCTTCGTTTCGTCCCAATACGGGAAGAATGAGCGTACGCCTAGTAGTAGACAAAGTACTTTAAAAAGCAACACATGAGGGAGGAAAAAATACTATCATATTTTAAGCTGAAGATAATACTGTAGGCTACTTTTGACCCATTAACCCATTCAACCTTTGCATTAAAAGCATTGGACATTGAAAGCTCGCAAAACCGATGCAAAGCAGCCTGGAGTGTGGTTAATAGTGTGAAACCCCAAAAGCCTAAAATGTCCTGCATGGCGAGTCCAGATGATTTCAACACCTTCTTTGTTTCGTCTGTTGAAGAAATTATCTACAACATCCCAGATAGCCCCCAAGACCCGTTGGCTTATGTCGGAAGGCGTGTGGAAGAGCTCCACTGTTTCCTTGACGGATGGAATCCCATCTCAGAAAAGCAGATACGGACTCTAATCTCTGGACTCAAAAGTTCCAGAACATGTGACTGTTTTGGCTGGTCATCCCAATTACTGAAAGATGTAGCTGATGACATCTCTGCCCCCTGACTACAGTTATCAACAGGTGCTTGTTGACAGGTGTTTTTCCGGACAAGCTAAAGAGAGCCAAGACCATTCCAATATACAAAAAAGGTGATCATGCCAGTATCTCGAGCTACAGACCTATCTCGATACTACCTGTGATTAGTAAGGTGATAGAGACGGTGATGAAGAATCAGTTGTATACATACTTTGAAACACACCAGCTGTTTTCAGACTCACAGCACGGTTTCCGCGCAGGGAGATCTACTTCGTCTGCGATTGCCAGGATTGCAAGAGAAGTTGGCGAGGCCTTTGAAGCTGGGGAGTCGGTAATGCTAACACTCTGTGACCTCAGCAGAGCTTTTGACTGTGTATCCCATGATATCCTGCTCAAAAAACTCAGCAGATATGGCGTTGGTAGTGTGGTTCTCTCCACCTTCAAGAACTACCTAGCCAACAGAACCCAGAGGGTAATACTCGAAGGCGCAAGCTCTCTAGAACTGGAGGTGAACCAGGGGGTTCCCCAAGGATCTGTGCTGGGCCCTCTTCTATTCCTGGTCCTCATCAATGACATCGACGAGACCAGCAGCTCTATACTATTTGCGGATGATACCACGCTTCTCACTAAAGGGCCAAACCTACACCACACTAGGGATTTAGCCATAATTCAGGTCCAAGAAGCAAAAGCATGGTTCCAGATGAATAAGCTGCAACTGAATGAAGACAAAATCCAGAGACTCCTTTGTACCCTCTCAAGAGACTCCTCGGACGACATGGCTGCAGTAAAACTTCTCGGTTTCCAGCTGGACAGCCCACTCGACTGGAATGACCATGCTGCCCATGTTGCCACACGGCTTGCGAGAGTCAACTGTCTCCTCAGGCGCCTCCGGAAATGTGTCACGGAGCAGTACCTGCTCATGGTATACCATGCCCTGTTTCATTCGCACATTGCGTATGGACTACACCTTTGGGGTTATGCGTCGGAAGTGGAGGAAGTCTTAAAGCTTCAAAAAGCGGCAGTCCGTATAATCTCAAGGAGCCCTTTTAGAGAACACTGCAAACCGATATTCAAGAGACTTGGAATTCTAACCGTCTGCAGCCACTACATCTACGCCTGCCTGGTTGAAATAAAATGCAGTGTTCCTCTTCTCAACACCAGAAGCCACATCCACGCCCATAATACCAGAGCTAGGCAGGATCTCGATGTTCCCCGTGCGAGATTGAGCAGGACGCTCAATTCCTTCCCTACGTCAGCCATCAAGTTCTTCAACAGACTCCCTTCCAGCATTCGATGTCTGGACGACCGGAAGTTCAAGAGTGCTGTGAAAGACTTGATGATCAATAGACCATACTACAAAGTAGAGGATTTCTTTAAGGACAATTTGGAGCGGGACAATTAATTTTTTGTACCGCCTACTGCCTGCCCACCATGTTTAATACACAGTTTTATTTTATATGTGCGTGTAGTCTTTGTTTTGTGTCTTTTTTCCGTATTAAACAACGACGCAGTCTATTCCCTCACCAGAGGGTCAACGACGAAGGCTAATGAATAATGAATTACCGTATAACCACGGCCGCCTTTAAAGGGTGCCGTGGTATTTTATCACCTTGGTGGAAGGAAGCACCAATAAGCAAGTAACTTAAATTACATGAACAACTTTTTTCAAACTACCAAAAACAAAAAATAATTGTTATAGACAACTACCATGAGTATTTTTACAGTACAGTATGTATATTTTTTTTATAGTATGAACTTTGAATTTGACTAGCAGCCGAGTTCCCGAGTTTGTTTCTGTGAACCCCGAATTTATGTTCACTTTTTTCAGCGTAACGTGAAGTGATGTCATCGTCATATTTGTTCTTTCGTTCTTTCTTCTGGACGCCATTGTTTACAGAAGAATTCTTCGAAGTCTTCTTTGCGGTTTGTAGGGTTTATAAGTTATTGTTTTTTTTTAATCAAGTTTTGTTCATTTAATAGTAATTTCTCGTAGTTTAGGCCCTAATAAGTATTTAAGCTCTATTAAGTAGTGTCAGTACACTTTCTAAGGCTGCCGAGACCGACGTTGGCAGCCAAGGACTCTCTAGAACTCGCGCCCTAAGGTATTATTCCATTACTATTACCAGTTAAACTAAACGCTGTATCATTGTAATTTAATAATTATTATGTGGCAACAGATTTTTGGCAAATGTCTCATTAGGGGCTAGTCTATCAAAAGGTACCTATATAACAATTGGCCAAGGTTTTCTATATCAAAGATCTTGATAGGGACTACCTACGCAGCAGACCATAGGCCTAGTATGCTGCGTAATCCTACATACCTTACACAGCATGATTGTCCAATATTTATTGTTTTATTCTGGGTAGGCCTAGATGAATTTTAAGCATCCTCAAGCAACAATAAATAGCTCGGCAAATAATTACTGTACTTACACTGGGATAGGCTATGATGTAATTTTTATATGTCTACTTACAGTATTTTTAACACTGAATCCAAAAATGCAATCAGTTTTTGTCGGAGAGATTCCTAAGTGGCCGTAAAACGAAGATTAGGATTACGAAGATAATTCCATGTAGGCCTAGGCTACCATATATAGGCCTAATCTGTCTTTAGTCTTTGGTGCCCCTTATACCCTGCCTCTGCGGCCCGCCGCAAGTTTGTGCGGCGGCAGTGGCAGTGATGACCAGCGTTGCCAACACAACTTGCTCATTTTACCCGCAAATTCCGGTGGTAATCCCCGGAATTACCCGTAATCAAGTCTTTATTACCCGCAAAATCCCCTGAATTCAAATTTTAAAGATTTCGGCAAACTTTTTGGTAAAAACCTCGTTGTAGGCCTAACCACGTTATTACGGTGCATTGAGAGAATTATTAATATGTAGGCCTATACCATTCTTTCTTATATTCAGCAAACCGTACAAAAAACTGTAAAAGGTAAAAACTTGGTTCTAGACTATTCTAGGTTAGGATTAACATGGTGTGAATCATATGAAACTGTAGCTGAGTTGTTGGTTTATAGCATCAAATTGCCAGCTGAGATAAACAATCATTAAATCTAACATAGTAAAAGAAAATTAAAAGTTGAATAAGTTTATGCTTACTTCTTGTAAAAACTTGTTTTAGTTTTCTTGCAAAAGGACACATTCAATTCCAACTTGAACACATTAGGATAGACCTCTGGTAGCTAAAGCATAAACTAAGGGTACAAGTTCTCCCTTTACTCAACAGATAGTGCCAGAATGAGCATAGGTCCAAGGTACAACACCTTCCCCTACCTACTCAAAAAGACATCAATAAAATATGACTTAGTGATGTGTGGTGTTTTTTTATGCCGTAAGTTAGTACTGGGCGTTGCCACAAGTGGCACACATTGACCAGTGATTACATCGAGACAATGACACGGTTTTATTAGTGTAGAGCCTAGGCCTAAATCATTTTGTTAGGTACTGAAACTATTCAATGAAGGATGTTTATAAAGTATGTCACAGTTTCCTGGAATGTGGTGTGTTATGCACAGTAAAGTAAGTTGTGGTAACTTATTACACTTATTTTTTTATGACCGAAACATGTAGAGACCTAATTATGTACGGTAAGTTTTCTGCCGTGGAGACCGAACTAATCTGGCCCAAGCAAAGTGCTCCATGGCCCAAATAAATTTAAATGATTATTTGTTGTAGGGCCCAAATGGATTGTAAATTTCATTAAATTATAATGTATTCTCTCTTGTTTCAGGTTCGCGTATTTTTGCATGGTAGGGTTTTCACCAATTGTCATTAGGCCTGTACGTTTTCTCTACTTTGGAAATGTAGGCCTAGTTCAAGTATGATACAAGCCTGAATAAGGAGAAGAAGGACAAAAGCAAATTTTGATTCTTAACTAAGGTAACAACCAAGCTTGATTGTCTCTTTTTACAAACCAAACCTAGGTCTTAAAGAATTCTTCATCTTACATGACATCGCCTAAAGGCATCAATCATCGAAAACAGAAAATAGGTTATTTTAGACAACTCCTCTTATGATAACATCAAGAATGATATTTTTGATGGAGTTCTTTCTTACACTTAAAGGGGGGCTATGACAAAATGTTAAAGTTAAATTTGTTCACCTTACTTTCATGTTCCTGCATTTTACATTGTATTTTTTTCTCCTTTAAGGAACATTTCTATTTAAATACACAGTTTTTTAAGTTCTGGCTCAGTAGTGTGAAGTGGCGAGTCGAGTATTTGGACGTAGTATGTACCTACATGGAAATGGCCAGCACTGCTAACTTGTAGTTTAGCGAATCCAGTATTCCAGTAGGCCTACTACAAAACAAGTCTAAGGCCCTCGGCATCGTTGACTATTCCCTGTTTGACTCCATACGGTAGGCCTACCTACTTAATTAGTAGTGCACTCGACTCGTCACATCACCAAGGCTACATAGGTCCCTATAACTGTTAGCCTACCATACATGTGTTTCGGACTGTTTATTTGCAATGGGACTGTTTCAAGCTTGATTCAGACACACTCGTTTGTTTAATGGAGAAGTTTAGCCTATATCAAGACATTGCGCCAGCATCTTTCACTTATACCAACTAAACTGTAGACTCAACTACTGAAATAATGCTATTGTAATTCTTGTAGAGAAAGGTCTGTCCATTCTAACCTAGGGATTGTTGTTCTTGAATTGACTTTGTACCATGCTCCTAGGTTGGTATTGTGAACGTCACCATTCTAACCTTCCTTGTAAAGAATTGCCACAAGGCAATATCACTTAAGCAATAGCCTATCACAGTTATGTTGTAAAACTGATTGTTTTATGTAATCATCATCTCAAGTTATTTATCAGTGAAAGTACTGTAGCTCAACTATTAATGATTTGGTGAGATTTGAGTTCTAATAATAAGATTGGAAGGACAGACCCACTTGAGAATTTTTAAGAGTATTGCCCTAAGTATCATAGGCGTAACAGTGCACAGTGCAACAAGTATGGTTTTGATTTGTTTAAAAGTTTGTGGAAATCACAGCAAGAGTTTTATGTTAACTTTTGTTCTCTTTAATTTTGTGTTACACAAAGAAAGTTTATTCATTATTGCAAAAGAGTTTTGAAAAGCTTAAAATGATTAAAGGGATGCAGTCTAACTGGACCTAAACATGCACTTAATTCGCCTTAACATGGTGGTATTCTTTACGTTGGTTTTTGTGTACGGTACATGTTTTTGTTTACTTTTTTGTTCTCAGTTGGTAATAAATAATTTAAACTTATTCTGCCAATTTGAGGTTATTGATTTAATTCCAAGGTTTGTAGTAGTTGTTAGGTACTCGGTAACAGGTTCATAAATTCTTCTACTCTAAATCAAATATGTTAGAACTTCTATTATCAAGGAGGGGATTAGGTAACCTAGAATAACTAAAAACTATGGAGACTCACGAAGTGGTTTTAATTTTTTTTTTCAAAAGTTGTTTAAAAAATATTTAGGCTAACAACATTGTTGTGCGTTTAAATTAAAAATGAACAGTCTTCTACACCAACGCAAAACCAAAAGAGGAGAAAAAGACTTCTGCAACCCATCAATCACAAATTTAAACTACTAATGGTTGTGTTTAATCAAGGGTTATTGAATAATATTTTCTTAAAGGCTTTTAATTGTAGCCTAGTACAAAAGATGACAAAATAGAAAGTTATTATTGTTCGCTCAATGTCGTTTTAATTGGAGACGTTGCAAAAAAATAACACCAAGAAATGCTTTTTGTTAATGTGCATCCTAAATACGCCAGTTATCCTCACTCTTTTTTTATGCTCATCTCCTAATTACCCTACTGGCTTCTCACTTGATGTGTTGTAGTCAGTTTCAGGACAAACGATCTGTTTTTGTGACTTGGTGAGCTAGCGTCACAGAAAACATACTACTATAACCCAGAATGCCAACCGCATGGTAAAAACCATTAAGTGTTTTGAGAGAGCTTTGCCTGTCAATCCGTAGGCAGCGCCACCAGTGTTGCTATGCTGAATGCATGGCAGCTGGTGGCGCTGCCTACGGATAAATTTAAACTTAAAATTTAAAAAATGTTTTAAATTAAAGATCTGTAAAAATCTTAAATAGAGTAAAAAGCCTTGTCATTAAGTAAATTATATATTGTCTCTCTTTAAATTTTTGTTTTGTTTGATGACATAGCTTGGCGGAAGCACATTGTACAATCTCGGCCCAGCATACAATGGAGATTTTTCATATAGGGTCAAACGGTGTCTAAAAATATTTTCATTTCGGGTTCCATACCTGTGGTTAAAATGTATTTGTTCTGGTAGCTCATTTTTAACTGAATGTAGGCTATGAAATTCCATAATTCTAGAATAACCTCGTTAATGTCTGAATTTTTAAATTTTGAAAATGTTTCTTACAAGAACTGTGTGCATGAGAATTGGTGAAGAACTGTGTGGATGAGAATTGGTGATAATGTGAATAATGTTTTTGTAACCTGAATATAGCTTTTAGCGAATTTCCCATATAGGGAATAAGCTATTACCGTAGTACTCATGGTAAGACCTGGACGCGGGACCGATTTTTTTTTTTCGTTTTGAGGTCCCTAGAGGCCAAAAACACCATCCGTTCAAATTCATATATATATATATATATATATATATTTATATATATATATATATGTGTCCGTCAGCACGATAACTCGAGCAAAAATGATCCGATTTTGATGAAAATTGGTACAAACGTGTAAAAGTACGTTTATTCGAACGAGTTCGCAATCCAGCATGATCGGACCATGGGAACGGGGGTTTACGGGGGGTTTTATGGGGTAAAAATAGGTTTTTCTAATTTTTGACCCAAAAAACATAAAATTTAGCAATTTCTTTTCAAACCATTTTGTAGAGCTTAAAAAAACAAATAATTTAGTATAATGAAGCGTTATTATGCGCCTAATGGTTACGGAGAAAATTCCAAAAAATTGCAAATTTAAAATTCCCATGTTATTCTTATGGAGAATAAGTAAACTGTTGTAGTTTGCTTGTTTGTGAACATATTTTGATCAAATTTGGAAAATGTTTTTATTTCTTACTAACTATTCACATTTTACAAAAAAAATCAGTTTTACCCTCCCTGATGCAGCAAACCTAAGTACTTGTTAAACTTATTCTATTTAAATCAAGAATAAATGTTATATTTTTAAGTAGACATTTCAGTGTAAATCCAATCAGTCAAATGGAAATTCGCTTAGTCTGCAGGTTTGCTGCGGCGGGGGTATTATACCAGTAGCTTGACCCCATAAAATTATGCCATGTCTTAATTCAGACTACATAAGCATGATAAACGACTTTAAAGTGTCTCAATAGAAACACAGTCCATTAAATAAATGAATAAAGATGATATCGACCTAATTTTGTTATGTAAATAATTCAAATGTGAATCCCATTTAACTGTGTCACCTACATAAACCCCTAAGAATTTTGAGCTTCAACTAAATTAAAAGAACAGTTTTCCATATTAAAACGTTTTTATTAGCTCGCTTTCTTGTCCGGTAAAAATTTTGCAATCGATTTTATACTAAGTTCCCGATGAGCCAGAGACTTCAAACTTGAAACATAGCTCACAAATGGATGACAATGCAATATTACATCCATTTAATTTTCACATTTCCCTTGGGCTACGCCCCATGGGCTTGTTTTTATTAGCTCGCTAGTCGCTTTCCTACAAATTTTGATATCAATCTTAAATGAAGTTCCCGATGAGCTAGAGACTTTAAATTTGAAACATAGCTCACAAATGGATGACAATGCAACATTATTTCATTTAATTTTCATATTTCCCACGGGATACGCCCCATGGGCTTCCACATTTTCCATGTTTACATTTTGAAAGAATGTAAACACATCAATTAATTTAAGTCAGCTGTAAATACTTACTGTAAATACTACTACAGTTCGAAGAGCAGAGGTTAAGAGGTACAGGTTCTGCTCCAGATCTATTCTAAAAAAAACAAGCATTTTAAAGTAAAGATAAAACATATGATTAGAGATAATAAGGTTTTGGTTTGTTGTATTAATAGTCAAAGGTTATATATTAACAGGCCATATAAAATATATTTAACATATTTACACATTAAAGACTAAAAAGTTGAAAATAATTTATAAATCAAAAACTTTTTTAAACAAAACACACTAAAAAGTATAAAATAATTTATAAATATGTTTGAATACTTGTAAGATTTAAAACGAAAAACGTTGGGTGCATGGAAATAATTGATAATAATACATTAGTTCAATAGGTGAAGGTAATTGTAAATTATCTATTGCATGCACCCCGCGTTTTTCGTTTTAAATCTTACAAGTATTTATACTCTCAACATATTTATAAATTATTTTCTACTTTTTAGTGCGTTTAAAAACGTTTTGTTTTAAAAAAGTTTTTTAAATATAAATTATTTTTGTATCAAGTAGAAAATTTTATAATTGTTTTTTCAACATTAGGTTTTAATCCATTTTCTAAAAACCATAGCTCCATATCCTTTACCACACGCAGAGAAGAAAACATTTCAGTTGTATTATTATTTTTTATCAAAGCAGTATGGTTGTGTCATCGGCAAAAATAATAAGTTCTTATTAGAAGCTTTTCGAAGATCATTAGCGTACCGGTAAATAGGAAAAAAAGAAGCTAGCCAATAAATATTGACTTAATTCCCCCAAAAAAGAAGGGTTTTAAACTTTCTGCAATGGACTGGAAAATAAAAAAAAATTCTGTGGGCTTACGTGGTCAAAGTTGCATGTAAATGAACCGCATGTGTGATAGTTTTAATGAATATTTTTAATTAAGTTTTCGAAAGCTCGTACCGTATTGGTTTCAAGACGCCTACTGTTAAATTGAATCGCTTTGGTAATTCGGTCATTCTGTGCGATC